CACTCAATAAAATATACCTTGAAGGATGAATCTAGCTTTTCACTCAATAAAATATACCTTGAAGGATGAATCTAGCTTTTCACTCAATAAAATATACCTTGAAGGATGAATCTAGCTTTTCACTCAATAAAATATACCTTGAAGGATGAATCTAGCTTTTCACTCAATAAAATATACCTTGAAGGATGAATCTAGCTTTTCACTCAATAAAATATACCTTGAAGGATGAATCTAACTTTTCACTCAATAAAATACACCCTGAAGGATGAATCTAACTTTTCACTCAATAAAATATACTCTGAAGGAAAGCTCTTGGTTTTCCCTCAATAAAAACATACCCTGAAGAAAAGTTATCAGTTTTTTCACTAACTATAACATACCCTGAAGGACAGCTCTAGGTTTTCACCTCCCCAGATATCCATTCCTTCATCATACTTTCCTAGATATTCAAAATAGTCTCTGTCTATGGAAAACAGTCCTCCAGCCATTGTTGGAGTTCTAAAAACAAAATCAAAAATTAAAACTTTGTAAATATTTGATTTCACACATTTTAAGACAAATATGACAAATGACATAGATGGTAAGTAGTAACTATGTGCTAAAAGTTTTCAACAAACACTGTACATTAGTGAGTCATGGTAACAAGTGACTATGTGCTAAATGTTTTCAACAAACACTGTACATTAGTGAAGTCATGGTAACAAGTGACTATGTGCTAAAAGTTTTCAACAAACATTGTACATTAGTGGAGTCATGGTAACAAGTGACTATGTGCTAAATGTTTTCAACAAACACTGTACATTAGTGAAGTCATGGTAGCAATGCTTCCTTCTAGTGAACTGGTGGAAACAGCTTTCTTTCCCTTAGTAAACTGGTGGGAACAATGTTTCCTTCCATTAGCAAACTGGTGGGAACAACGTTTCCTTCCATAATGGAAGGAAACATTGTTCCCACCAGTTTGCTAATGGAAGGAAACATTGTTCCCACCAGTTTGCTACATTATGGATTGGAAACTTTCTTAAACTATGCTCCCTATACAAAGTGGTAGTCTCATCATTATGGATTGGAAACTTTCTTTAAACTATGCTCGCTATTAAACTATGCTCCCTATACAAAGTGGTAGTCTCATCATTATGGATTGGAAACTTTCTTTAAACTATGCTCGCTATTAAACTATGCTCCCTATACAAAGTAGTAGTCTCATCATTATGGATTGGAAACTTTCTTTAAACTATGCTCCCTATACAATGTGGTAGTCTCATCATTATGGATGAAACAAAATTATCTTCACTTGATGTACAGGTAATGAAAATATATCACAAAATCTTAAACCAAACAGTCTTTTATATCATGACAAATAGCAATGTTAAACAATGGGTGAAATCTAATCAATATACATAGGACTTTTTTGTTCAAACTTAACGTATATCATGTATATGAAGAACTTAGAATAAATAACCATGAAAAAATTAAATTTTTGGAGGAAGAAAACTTTAAAAATACAGAATTATTGTTTTTGTCCACTTAGATCACATAAAATAGGCAAAAACTTTATCTAAAACATGCAAAATACATAACATCAGTTTAAAACAAACACGATACGCAAAACATTAATTTAAAACATGTAAAATACACAAAACATCATTTTAAAACAGTACTATGCACAAAAATAACCATTTAAAACATAAACAATACATTAAAACATCATTTTAAAAAATGTACAATACACAGAAACATTATTTTAAAATATGTACAATATACAAAAACATTATTTTAAAATAAGTACAACATACAAAAATATCCATTTACCGAAGAGGCAGTGTTCTGTCTCCATTTCGACGGTCTACTTCTCGCTGAGGAACTCTGTACCAGCGAAAATTGAGCCTCCAGTTGAAACCACCCCATGTCATGTCTGACGCTGAGATATACTCAAACGTTTCATCACTAATAACATCAATTATAGGACAAACCACTCGGTTCCTGTTTGAAAGAATTGCATTTTAGTGAAATAAACTCTTTAATAAAAACAAATTATAGCTCATTCCTTCCTATCTCCTTAACTCGCTGTATTTAGGCAGTTACCTGTTTCCATTAACTTAATGTTTCTGACACATACAGAATTATTTGTAATAAACTTGGAGTTCTCACATACTTGTTTTTTATTTATACTTAATTAACACTAATTTTGAATTTTCAGTTCTTTTATTCATCAGCTATACAATGAAAAGCTGAAAATATTAAAGTTAAAAATTAAATACTTAAATTATTCAAAAAATACAATTTTAGACATTCTGAAAACACTTTGATAACAATCTGGTTTCTTTACCAAAGTTATTAGAACAGATATTTTCAGAAGATAACTCAAAGAAATATTTTTATCTACAAAAGAAAAAACATTTGGAGATTAACCTACTTGTCTTCAGCAATTCTAGCCAACAGAGGGACTAACCAGCCTTCAGTACACTCACAGTGGGCATCCAGGAAAGTGATAACTTGACCTTTGGTCTCAGCTGCCCCTTGAAGTCTTGCTCTGATCAATCCTGACCTTTTCCCAGTTCTAAGAACCTAAAAAAATTAAATTTATTCAGGTCTGGAAACTAAATGTATGAAAAAGGACTTGCTATTTATTTGTTTCATGCAATAACTAAAATCACCTTGGTGATTATGTAGATTTCTAAAAATTCAAGGTTTGGGAAAAACTTTCTATTTTATTTTTTTCTTACAATAATCAAATTTACAAAAATAAACTTATCAATATCAATGTTTCTGATTATTATTCCAACTATACAAGTCTCCTGTGAGAATAATGAATAGATTAATATTAATCAGTTAATGAACCCAAAGATTAACTGATTACCAAATTCCATTAATTTCCTAGCTTTATAATTATTAGCCCTACTAAAGATAAATACATGAAGAAATACTATTCTTATACATCTAATTACTGGGCTTACTAAAGATAAACAAATGAAGAAACACTATGCTTATGCACATAATTACTGGGCATACAAAAGGTGAATATGCGAAGAAATATTTTTCTCACAAACCTAATTATTAGGCCTACTAAAGATGAATATACAAAGAAATACTATTCTTACACACCTAATTACTAGGCCTACTAAAAATAAATAAATGAAGAAAGAATATTATTGTGCATCTAATTAGTAAGCCTACTAAAGATAAACTTATAAAGAAATACTACTCTTATACACCTAATTACTAGGCCTACGAGAAATAAATACATGAAAAAAGACTATTCTTATGCATCTAATTAATAGGCCTTCTAAAGATAAACTTGTAAAGAAATACTATTATTATGCATCTATTCACTAGGCCTACTAAAGATAAACTTATGAAGAAATATTCTTATGCACCTTATTACTAGGCCTACTAAAAATAAATACATGAAGAAAGACTATTATTATGCATCTATTCACTAGGCCTACTAACGATAAACTAACGAAGAAGTACTATTCTTATGCATCTATTTAATAGGCCTACTAAAGATAAACTTATAAAGAAATACTATTATTATGCATCTATTCACTAGGCCTACTAAAGATAAACTTATGAAGAAATACTACTCTTATACACCTAATTACTGGGCTTACTAAAGATAAACATATGAAGAAACACTATTCTTATGCACCTAATTATGGGGCAAACTAATGGTGAATATACAAAGAAATACTATTTTTAGTGATTAGTCACTAGGTCTATAAAGATAAACTATGGAAGAAATACTATTCTTATGCACCTAATTACTAGGCCTACTACAAATAAATACGTACAGAAATACTACTCTTATACACCTAATTACGAGGCCTACTAAAGATAAACATATGAAAAAATACTATTCTTATACACCCAATTACTAGGCCTACTACAAATAAATACATACAGAAATACTACTCTTATACACCTAATTACGAGGCCTACTAAAGATAAACATATGAAAAAATACTATTCTTATACACCCAATTACTAGAGTATTAAAAATAAAATATAACAAGAAAGATCATCCTAATGACTAAGCCTACTAAAGATAATTATACCAAGAAAGACTCTCCTTTTAAATCCAAATAATTAGATTAAAAAAAAAATTAAAAGTATATAAATTGTTAATAAATTATTTAGGATATTGAATAAAACTTCAAGTTCTGCAAAAAGTGATAAGAATTATGAATTTTGCCAAAGAAAGAAAAACAAAAAACATTCAATAACTTCTTAACTAAACAGCTTCAAGTGACTACAATGAGTACTTAACAATATTCCTAAATCATGTAATAACTTTAGAACCAAAAATATCACCAACCCTCAAGAAGATACTTAGGCCTATCACTAGAAATGTATTCTATTATGACACTACCTAAAACAGATTAGTTAAGATTTCATGAACAGTTGCAAAAATATACTTTACAACTACAAGCACCATATTAAGGTTTTAAGACTTGCAGTAAATATCAACTACCAAGTCTTCTTGGTTTTTCTAACCAACAGATTACATGAAATATAAAAGTCACAGCATTAGGAAAAACATAGACAACAAATATATATAATATTGTAATGGATCTAAATAAAAAATAAAATCACGATGAAAAAGAACTGCACATAATTCATCATAATGATCAATCAACTGTTTTTTGTGTAAAATGTCTAGTCTCAGCTACTGCACATAATTCACCATAATGATCAATCAACTGTTTGTTGTGTAAAATGTCTAGTATCAGCTGCTGAACACAATTCATCATAATGATCAATCAACTGTTTGTTGTGTAAAATGTCTAGTATCAGCTGCTGAACACAATTCATCATATTGATCAATCAACTGTTTGTTGTGTAAAATGTCTAGTCTCAGCTACTGCACACAATTCATCATAATGATCAATCAATTGTTTGTTGTGTAAAATGTCTAGTGTCAGCTACTGCACATAATTCATCATAATGATCAATCAACTGTTTGTTGTGTAAAATGTCTAGTGTCAGCTACTGCAGACAATTCATGATAATGATCAATCAACTGTTTGTTGTGTAAAATGTCTAGAGTCAGCTACTGCACACAATTCATCATAATGATCAATCAACAGTTTGTTGTGTAAAATGTCTAGTGTCAGCTACTGCACACAATTCATCATAATGATCAATCAACAGTTTGTTGTGTAAAATGTCTAGTGTCAGCTACTGCAGACAATTCATGATAATGATCAATCAACTGTTTGTTGTGTAAAATGTCTAGTGTCAGCTGATGGTAAAATGACAGAACTCTGTTTATAACATCAGTCTTCAGATACTGTCAAATCTATTCTCAAATGACTTGGTGATAAAATAACAAAATATTAGAAATATGATGGAAATGAGTGATTCCATATGAAAATATTGCATAGCTTCAGCTAATCATGGAGTCAGAGTTTTTGATGAATACAGATATATATAAAATATGGAGTGTAAACATGACTTGCTTTGTGCAGTTGAAAACAATAAAGTACTTACTTTAACAGGAACCTCTAGTTTGGAGACATAATCTTCCAACTTCTGTTTCAGGTAATCTGTAAACAAAAATGTTTCATTTTGAGAAATATGAAAACTAATAAATTTTAGTTACTGAAAAACACATTACAAAATGTGAGTTTGATGTTTGAAGTAACCATAGATTAGGTTTATAAAAATATACCATGAAACTAGACATATCATTTAGAAATACACTAAACAACTCAATTGTGAATACAGCACAGAAAACTTAATTAGTAATCAGGTTTTCCAGAGAGAAGAAAACTTGGACCTCACTGGATTGAAACTCAAGACTACAATTTATGTTTTATATATTTTTATGGCTAGATTAGCAAGATTCTTGAACTTAAGAATGGGTAAGATGAGAAACTCCAATTGTCATCTCATAGGAGGGAACTTGTTACAAACAAAATGTTCTAGTCTTCACTGACAACCAAACACGATAAAAAACAGCACTAAACACTTACCTCTCTCACTTTCGTCATCAACTAGAATAATTTCCTCTAGTAATTCTCTGGGAGATGTGAGAATGATGCTATGAATGGTACGTAGTAAAGTTGACCAAGCTTCATTGTGAAATACAATCACAATACTCGTTGCAGGTAGCTTCTCAGGGTAGACTTTCTTTCTACATCTGAGAAAACAATCAGAAAATTAAACAAATATTGTACATTTCATTAAGTGAAATTTAGTTACAAACAGCACTATTGTTTTTCTGTGTTTATTATTTTTTTCAATTGGTGTTTTTTTTAGCTGTCTTATAGTGTTATTTAGATATCTTAAAATCAGTGTTTTTTGGAATTTTCAATTTTAGTTTTATGTAAGTACTTTAAAATAAGTGTTTTTGAAGTATTCTCTGCATATTAATTTCTCTTATGGGAGTAATAACAGGTGAAACTTCATGAGCAGCCAATGTTTTATATATTATAAAAACTAATGTACCACTAACAGATGAAACATGTTCTTTTTTTTCCTTCAGAGAAATATTCCACAGCAATAAAGTCATAAAAGTAACTACAGTTTATATGTCCACTAATCTGAAAAACCATTTCAAGCATTTTTCCAATGTTGTTTATTGGAAAAAAACAAAGTTAATTTTTTTGTATTGAGGTGTTTTATCAGTTAAAACCAAAAATCAGAAGTCCTAGTTACAAACTGTACATAAAAAAGAACAGAAGAAAGATATTCATTCCAAAATGGTTTCCAGCCTTGAATATTGGAATCTAATGCTTTAGTGTCACAGTTTGAAAAACATACAAGTATCAAAACCCAATACCAAGTATGTTTATTTAGATCCATAATCAAGTTCTACAGAATTCACTGAGCAAGTCTTAATTATAAGTTTCTTTAAATGAAAATAATTAACAGTTCTGAAGCAGCTTTGTTTTAGGACTAAACAAAGTTCTCTCAACTTCCATGGCTAACCATCTAGATTTGGATCACTAGTACTGAACACAGACATACTTCTAAGTTCTTAACTAACAAAATGTTTTCCTCTTCTTCTCACATCTGAACTCATGGTGTCTAATATTATTTATTCATTCAGAAAAAATGGAAGTTAACATTTTCTTACACTGAAAATGTATTTCTAGGTACTTACCTCCTTTCACCCAAAGCTATCTCAACCTTGATTTTTGTTTGCTAATAGCGCACCAGTTTATTATACCCCTTTATTTTCATGCTATTTCAGAACCTGCACATATCATGTGATTACCCTCCACCAATCATACTGCTCTACCTATACTTTACTATTCTAGCACAATCCTCACTTTGGAGAATTGGCAGTTACAAATCAAAACACCAGCATATCAGTGGGGAGGAAGGGTGGGAAGTGGGTGAGAGGAGATAAGTACCTATCGGAAATACATTTTCAGTGTAGGAAAATGTTAACTTCCGAAACAGTACTACCTCCTCTCACTCAAAGCTAGAATCCCTCACTGAAAAGGTGAAGGGGCTGGTCATGGCAAGACAGTATTCAAATAAATGGAAAACAACTGCCTGAAAAGAACGGGTGTGCCAGAAGAAGAAAGTAAGGCACACCTGTGGGGTATAGCACTACTTCTGGAACAGGTATGCTCCTCATCCAGTGAGGAAACAGTAATACATATAGGCGGTGGAATGTATGAGGCAGGCACCATATACTTTGCTTTGGAGCAGTGCGGTATAACTATGATGTGAATCAGCATAGTGTGGATATACGAAATCTCCTTGGATTCGAGGGAAGCTCCCCAACCTACCAAGGAAGCATCTGTAAACAGGTGAGTGACGAGACGAGGCAGTGGAATGGAAACCCCCACCATGGACATTTCCCTGTTGAGCCCCTATGCAAGGTCGGCTCTGGGTGGGTGATAGGATGATCCAAGAGATCGTGAGAGAAGTTGCATTGGTCGATAAGCATTGACTATGAGATGGGAATTGAAGAGAACCCCTAAATGAATAAGATATTGTGTAGGGGTTAGAAAGGACTTCTCTAACTTGATAAGAAACCCCACATGAGCAGCTTCTCGAAGAAGTAATCGGGTGTAAGACTGACTGGGGACTGGAAAGCGGCAAGCAGAAGCCAGTCATCCATGTATGGATGAATCCGAAGACTCAGCAAGTAAAGATGACGAGAAAATGAGGGAATCACTTGACAGAACACATCAGGAGCTGAAGCCAGACTAAACAGCTGTGCACAGAACTGAAAGACAGCCCTTGTGGACAAACCGAAGAAAACAACATGACCATGGAGCTATGAGAATAGAAAAATAGGCATCTGTCACATCAAACTTGGTCATCCAGAGTTCCAGGGAAAAAACCCACCTGAGGGAGAGGTAGGACTCCATGGTGCACTGGGTTGCCTCTGGAAAGGTATTCAGCAGGGACAGATCTATGATGAGTGAGCACGACCTGTTCGATAGCTCCTTTGTGTAGGGGGGAAGGAAACCAGGGAAGAGGATGGGGGGAGACTTGAACTGAATGCAAAGACCCTCTGACAGAACCCGTAAAACCCACGAATCCATCGTGAAGATGAGCTAAATGGTTGAGAACTGTTGAAACCTGACCCCCACTTGCCCTGGAAAATACACCCTATCACCCATACCACTGATCCCTGGAAGAAGGGTCACGGGGAACTTGAACAGGTGAAGCTTGGGCAGGAACAGCCAGATGAGACAAACAAGATGCCAGAGAGGACAAGTAGGAATGTAGCCTTGCCACATCAACCCTAGACTCCAAACACTCAGGACAACCACCACAAACCATTTCAAACAGAAATGGGGCCTGACGAAGAGCCCTTAAAGAATACAGGGAGAGAAGCACCCCACCAAATCCCAACAATGTAATAACCAATAAAAAGGCCAGAGTAGATCACAGGAGGGTCCTGAGTTCATCAGAAAATTGATCAGGTGACTGATGAAAAGCTTGAGACAACAACTGTATTGAGGAAATAATACACAAAAGAATGGTTAGGGGCAAGACGAATCTTAGAAAACTGAAATTGATTAAAGTGGATCAAATCCTCCAGATTCAAGCCCCACATGGGATCCAAATGTTGGAAATCCAAAAAGGGAATTGAGGTCTGCTGGTAAGCCAAAGAATATTGGTCCATCAACCGAGGCAGGGACATACATGTTTTTGACAGGAACTCATCAGCAAAATATTGAGCATGAGCTCAGATGTCGGGTGAGGGAGGAAAAACATAATAATCTGAAAGAGGTTATTCACCCAACAAGGGCTAAGGGTGAAACATTTAAAATTTGACATACCTGATCAATAAGGTGTAGAAACAGCGAGGTCAGCAAACTCTCCTGATTGTCAACATGAAGTGACTGACCAAAAAAGGCCGGAACAAATTCTTCTCCAGAAGCTTGTTCAAGGGGAAAGGGAGAACAAACCGACCACCGAGTGAAATTGTCCAACTTCCTGCAAATTAAGGCTTGAATTTCCTCAATAGACATTGTCAACCTACCTTGCTGGGGACAAGTGACATTACTATCCTCAATATTGGCAGGAACTTCATCATCCACCACTCTAGAATTTAAATTCACATTTCAAATTAGAATCAAAATATGAAAGAATTCTTTAGAAAACAAAACTAAAATTCAAAGCAAAATATTTAAGTTTAAACTGGTGAAGGACTGAAATGCAATCACAACAAAAAAAGCAAGCACATGGAGCAAAGTAAACACATGTCTACACACTGTTATGCCAATCTAGAAAGTGTGGATTGTGCTAGAATAATATAGGAAGCCACCTGTGCTAGTATAGGTGGTGCAGTACGATTGGTGGAGGGTAGTCACATGATATGCACATGTTCTGAAATGGCACGAAAATAAAAGGGTATAATTGACTGGTGTGCTATAAGAAAAAATTTGTTGAGCAATGCATAGAGGGTAAATTAAGTTCGAGATAGCTTTGGGTGAGAGGTGTGCAACTGTATCCCATTACTCTAAAAAGACCCACTACCATCTGAATTTTCAATTTTAATAAACACTTACTTAGGTAAATCACTTAAATTCTTAGTATGGATGAAAAGGTCCAGAAAAGGCGCATTCACTCTGTGATTCTGACAGTGTTCATGATTACATGTATACACACAATAAGCCCAATATAATTATATTATCTAGTTGTATTGATGATATGATACTACATAACAAAAATGTTTAATGGTTAATGTGGTCCAACACAAAACACTTTTAACAGATGTTTACTGGTTATCAAAATTCAACATGAAATAGCATTAACAAATGTTTAATGCCCTACTAATGCTAAACATGATCCAACATGAAACAGTTTCAACAGATGTTTGACACTTAACATGATCCAACATGAAACAGTTTCAATAGATGTTTGACACTTAACACGATCCAACATGAAACAGTTTCAATAGATGTTTGACACTTAACACGATCCAACATGAAACAGTTTCAACAGATGTTTGACACTTAACACGATCCAACATGAAACAGTTTCAACAGATGTTTAACACTTAACATGATCCAACATGAAACAGTTTCAACAGATGTTTGACACTTAACACGATCCAACATGAAACAGTTTCAATAGATGTTTGACACTTAACACGATCCAACATGAAACAGTTTCAACAGATGTTTGACACTTAACACGATCCAACATGAAACAGTTTCAACAGACGTTTGACAATTAACACGATCCAACATGAAACAGTTTCAACAGACGTTTGACAATTAACATGATCCAACATGAAACAGTTTCAACAGATGTTTAACTGTTAACATGATCCAACATGAAACAGTTTTACACTATTGAAACTTAAAACAGCACTGAGGGACTTAACTTTAATGTATACTAGACCACAGTGACCGGTGAGGTCAACCACTATTCAGAGGTTATGAAGAATTCAAGCTAATTTCAATATTGCACCGAAATGAAGGTTTATTTTGAGATAATTTAATTACATATTTCAATCCATTTGTGTTTTTCATAATTCAAAAAAG